CCATACTACCCAAAGTGATATACAAATTTAATGCAATCCCCATCAAAATTCCTATGACATTTCTCACAGAAATGGAAAGAACTATACAGTTATTTATCTGGAATAACAAAAGACCACGAATAGCCAAAGCAACGCTGAGCAAAAAAAATAAAGCTGGAGGTATTACTCTACCTGACTTTAAACTATACTACAAAGCTATAATAACCAAAACAGCATGGTATTGGTATAATAACAGAGACTCTGATCAATGGAATAGAATAGAGCACCCTGAAATCAACCCATGCACTTACTGCCATTTGATCTTCGACAAAGGTATCAAGTCTATTCACTGGGGTCGGGACTCCCTCTTCAGCAAAGGGTGCTGGGATAACTGGTTATCCATTTGCAGGAGATTGAAACTAGACCCACATCTCTCACCATGTACTAAAATCAACTCAAAATGGATCAAGGATTTAAATATACACCCTGAAACAATAAAACTTATTAAAGAAAATATAGGAGAAACCCTTCAGCAAATAGGGCTGGGCACAGACTTCATGAATATGTCCCCAAAAGCACGGGCAACCAAAGGAAAAATAAACAAATGGGACTATATCAAACTGAAAAGTTTCTGCACAGCAAAAGAAACAATTAACAGAGCTAAAAGACAGCCAACAGAGTGGGAGAAAATATTTGCAAAATACACATCTGACAAAGGACTAATATCCAGAATATATAAAGAACCACAAGAGATTCTTATGTGAATAAACTCCGTGCTATTAAAGTTCCTTAGAAACAGGTCAGGTACATCAGGAGACAGTGATGGGAGAGGCAGCGTGGTTGGACGGTAAGGACCTTTTCAGGGACTAAGCCATGATGTGTCCCAGAGGCAGTTCTGAAGCAAAGTCATGGTAACAGAAAGCAAGATAAAAAGGGAAGGTAGAAATATGTGTCCTTTGCGGAATGGCTAAATGGAGCTAATTAACATTACCTCACAAACACCTTTTTTCGTGTGTGGTGAGAACACTTAAAATCTACTGTCTTACCTATTTTCATGAATATAGTATATACAATTTTGATTTGTCAATAAATAAGTGAAAATATTTTTTAAAAAGGGAAAGGTAGAGTAACATAAGAAGTTAAAACAGAGGGAAAAAGAGAATTGAGAGAAATTTGTGAGGGAAGAAAAGCTGACATCAGTGAAAACTTTCCCCTGGTACAGAGACTGTGAGTGGCTTACAGCAGTGGGAATTCTCCCTGGCAGGTCACAACCCTCGTTAAGCGTGACTGCATTCTGTCTCATGTGAAATGGAGATCACGATAAAACAGAAAATAAGTGAAACAAAGGAGAAGGAAACTTTGCTTCCGTGTATAAAATTTAAATATGTATATATACATTTGATACATTTGATATATATACATTTGATACATCTACCTACATTGAAACATTAACTTTAAATATATATACTAAAACATTAACTTTAAATATTTATTTTTAAAAGACAAATATATATGTATATATGCAAGTACTTCCATGTATATAAGAAGTAATTCTGTTTATTTGCCTTCTGTGCAATAATGTTTTGAAATATTTATTGATTTACTCATTGCTGCAAAATAGTTTCTATGGCTCAGTCTTTTAGAAGTTCTGCATTTAAAAGAAAATGGTTTTTTCTGTTGTTCTCAACACTGGCAAACTAATGGGTCAACTATGTTTCCCACAGTCTTCAAACTGCTTTCTTTAATGGATGATAAAGGCAGATTTTTTTTATCATTTACACTGATATTTAATGGGAAAAGGTAA